GAAGTGTCTTTGATTTGTGTGTAAGTTATTATAATTCGGTATGGTTTGAATCCAACATCAGTTACTCAAATGTTTCTAAGAGTATATAATGTACCTTTCTATGTATGACAACATTAAAGGAGCATTTCCAGATACACTAAAACATATGTAACACAACAGACTAATATCTTTAAAATAATAATTTTTAACATAATAATGTTTCAGTGTACATCACAAAGTAGCTCCCAATTTTTATGACCACGATATAGTTGTCCATCAGTATCTGCAAGGCATTGATTCCAGGACCCTCATGGATATCAAAATCCAGGGAGGTGCAAGTCCCTTCTAAAAAATGGCATAAAGTACCTCCTGGATACTTTTAATCATTTCTAGATTAGTTGAAATATATAATACTATGTAAATGCCATGTAAATAGCACATTAGCCTTTGAGGCATTGCTTTGACCACTTGCTTCCCTAGCCATCCCCCAACAATTTAATCAACAGATGCAGAACCAGCAGATATGGAGGGACAATTGTATGTATGAACCTCTTATTTTTAACAAGGTTTAAGGGGGTTGTTCATTACTACAGATTGTACTTAAGTTGGATGCTTGTAACCTGGGGGACTGACTGCCTGTATAATACACTCTAAATTATCTTGGGAGTCTTTCACATCATGTTTGGAATAAATAAATATATATATATATATATATATATATATACACGGGGGAGGGTTTGTGTGTGAGTACTGGTGTGATGTAGGATAAGCACTGGACTACAAGGTCAGTTTGAACTGTAAGGTCAGCAGTTCTAACCAACCAGCTGCTCCGTGGATACCCTACACAGGGTCACTATGGATCAGAACTGACTCAACAGCACTTAACAACTACAACATATATATGCATATATATATATATCGATGCACACAGAGAATATAAATCATGAGCTATTATCTATTAGTTATATACTATAAGATTAGTAAGAGTTGTTTTTGTTTTTTTTTTCAAATAATAGACTACATGAGGCAGAATGGGGAAAAAAGAATTAATACCTACAACTTACAGTCAGTTACAGAAATGTTCAGAAAATCATTATAAACATTTTACATTATGGAACAAAATTGGAAGTTTGCAATCTTTGAAAAGGCACATTTTCTGCCACCTCCTGAACATTCCCCTGAGAGAACAGAACTGATTTAACATACTGAGACACTTCAGCCTTGGCTTCATCAAGGAGCTATCCCAGAGGTAAAGATGTCCTGAGACTATAAATGTCTGTTAAGTTCATAAGTGAAAGAAAAGAAACAAGAGTGAAAAAGCAGGACCAGTTTAGAACTCAGCTTGAGGAAGAGATGTGATGTGATCACAAAGTATTAACATCCTTCCATAAACGAATGGAATGTTCTTGCACTTTCCTTTGAACACTGCCACGGTTCTGTAACTGAGTCATCTGAGTTGAGGAATTCTCATAAACAATCAGCTGGAACACTCTATGTCAACTGGACACTGCAGGTGATAAATGAAGAATTTCAGATATGGGGAAAATGATCACAACTCTTTCCCAGGAAGGAGTTTGATCAAATTGCTTTCTTCTTAACAACAGATGATTATCAGCTAGTCTAACAGAAACTGATTGGTGGAGTAGAAAAGTTAGTAATTTCAGAATATGAAGAACTTCATTCCGTGAGGAAGGCTAGGAGGGAGAGAAGAGCAAAACTTGACTCGTGACTAGGACATTAGGAAGTGGACCAGTTTTCATGGAGTCAATAGTAACTCACAGTGGCCCCATGTGTGTCAGAGAACGGTGCTCCATAGGCTTTTCAATGGCTGGTTGTGTTTTCAATAGATTGATAATACTTAATTCTAAGGTAAGTCTAGGTAGACTTGATTCATCAAACTTTTGATGAGCAGCCACACTGTTAAATGTTTGTACCAACCAAGAACTCCTTAGAAAGGGGACCCAAATCCAACCTACTGCCGCCAAGTCGATTCTGACTCACAAGGACCCTAGCGGACAGAGCTGAGTTTAAGGCTGTAAATCTTTATGGAAACAGACTGTCACGGCCTTCTCCCAAGCAGCAGCTGGTGGGTTTGAGCCACTAACCTTTTGGTTATCAGTCAAGTGTGTTAACCACAATCAGAGCTCCTTAAAAATAAGGGGGTGCAAAAATTGAGTGAAAGACCAAGATATTGTTCTTAGAAAAAGAAGCAGAAACTTGTTTTCTCCCACCTCCAAACTGTTCATGCTACCCTGTTCTTAAGACCCCAAACTCCAGCAGGTATCTCGAGTCATACAGGTCAGCTAGATGAGGGTATAGCCTGCTTCAGAAGCTTAATTTGGGGATCCAATCATCAACTCATTAACAGTGTTTCTGTGGACAAACTGTTTCAAAGTCTTCTTGTAATCCCTTTGTTTGAAAACATGATAGAAGATCCTTTCATAAGACTGTGACGATTATCTACTTGGGTGAACTTCTTTTACATTTTAGAATGTCATCAACATGCTTTGAATCACCAAACTATATTCTGAATATACAGCAAAAATGAACCTTTAAAAAAATGCCCAACATTTGTGTCACCAAGATAAAACTTGTGTATTGTGCATTTAAAAATAACAATACTTTCCTACTGACATTACTTAAATGATACTTAAGTCATGCTGAATAAATCTCTCTCTTTTTCAGACATGCACCAAATCCAATAAACTATCACTAGGCTATAGCTACAAATATTCTCTAAACAATGACTCTGGATCATTCTACAAACACAACAAGACACAAAGCTTTAAGGCTACATATTACAGCTACCTTGATTATTTGAAACATGCAAGGGCACTTACAAAAGATAATTATCAATTAATCACTGTTGGAGTCCTGGTGTGGTGCTGTAGGATCTGCACTGAACTCCTAATCACAAGGTTGGTTGGTGGTTCAAAGCTACCAGCCAATCCTTGGAAACCCTATATGGGGTCAATGTGAGTCAGAACGGACTCGATGGCACTTAACAACATTGCCATTTTACAGCAGGAAGAAGCTACAAGTCAATCCAGACATCTGAAATGAGATTTTAAATGTTCCTCTGTTGCAGGACAGATTATTGCTCAAAACTGCCCATTTCAAAATACCAAGAAATTTTCAATGTCATTTTTTTAAGCAAGAATAAAATAGAATACAGACTTTTAAAATTAAACCTCTCATCTGTTAAAAGTGAAATTTATTGCAATATGGTAAGTGTCAGTGTTAAAAAAAAGGATGGTTAAATTCATAAAGTGTATCATTTTTCTAATATAAATATTAGAAATAACAACTTAACTCTACATATATACATAATGGGAAAAAAAAACATATAATCATATACAAAGACAAAAAACAACTTGAAACATTTTATGTAATACATTTATCTGCTCCCAGCATTACATCAAAATATAGTGATATACTCTGATTGCAAAGCTCAAGATTGAAGTGTTCTGCACTTATGGTAGGTATCAAACATTAACAATATTTAAAAATCACTGATCATTCTGATCACATGGTTCTATTTCCCTATTTCCTTTTCTCAGTAAGGCTTGGACAAAAAGTTGAGCTAGAAAAACTGTGTTTACAGGGTCTAGCACAAAATGTCTTTTCAATAATCACAGCATCAGTTATAAAAAATAAAAGACGTATATATAGGACAAGAAAGACAATGTCTACATTAACATGTAGGTAAAATGAAGCAGCTTTCCCTCTGCTTGCTTACTTGGCTGCCAAGTCTCCACAGAAAGGAGAAGGTAGAGTCAGTAGGAAGTAAGAGTGTATCAGACTGGTGGGTATTGGGGGGGTGGGGAGGGGTGTGAAACAGGGAGGGAACATGTGCCAGATTACACAGGGAAATGAAAAATACAAGGGGGCTTCGAGAAGTTTGTGGAAAATGGAATTAAAAGATAATGAAAAATTTCCACAAACTTTTGAAACCCCCTTGTATTATCTACCTATTCTTCCCTGTGCTACCTGAAACTGGGAGAGGTTCCAGCTTCCCCTCCCTCCCTGCATCCCAATGGAGCGCTCGCTGTCCCCTACCCTACACTGTGTCAACAGCCACTCCTTTCAGAGGGTTTGTCTGCTCCTGACTTTGAATCCTTATTACAAATCTGTGGAACAGACCAGATATTATACATTAGAATATATGGAAAATACAACAAAGAGTATGGTTTTCTATGATAGCAAAACTTCAAACCAGTTGCCACCGAGTCAACTTGACTCACAGCGTGCGACCCAATGTGTAAGAGTAGAATTCTACTCTATTAGGGTTTCCAATGGCTGTGATTATTTGATATGCATCGCCAGGCATTTCTTCCAAGAAATCTGTGTGGATTCAAACTGCCAACCCTTTGGTTAGTAGCTAAGCACTTACAGTTTGGGTCACTAGGGACTCCTCCTCTAAGATGGCCCTTCTTACAGTTTAATGTACGTATGATTCAGAGAAGACAGATCCTGTCTTTCTGGGCCATAAGCATACCTTGGAAGTGCTAAGTACAGCTGTGCCTGCTTTAGTGTTATCTGCCCACGCAAACACACCCTTGGGGCACAGGTGTAGGTGCAGTGTGAAAGTGACCAGGTGTCCAGCATACTACATTTTCTGACAGACTGTAAACATATGAACGGCCAAGCAAGCATAGAGTTTTATGCAAATAAATTATACACTATAGGGTTGTTGGTGGTGTTTTTTGCCAACTATGCAATCTAACTTACATTGTTTTTTTAAAGCACATTATGCCGCGTGTTATATGTGTGGGCATGCTATTTACGTGAACACATTATTTGCGAAAAAAATAGAAAACTCAAGTTAAGCAAAGAGGTCTATCTGCTGAAAAGGAGCCTCCTTGGTGGCATAGTGCTTAAGTGCTCATCTGCTAATGAAAAGGTTGGCAGTTCAAGCCCCAGGGAGAAAGATGAGGCAGCGTGCTTCCCTAAGATTACAGCCATGGAAACCCTACAGGCAGTGCTCCTCTGTCCTACGGGGTCACCCTCAGTAGAAAGGACTCAATGGCACTGGGCTTTATTTGCTGGGAATGAAATTAATCTTTTATACATTTAGTCTTTTTTAAAGTGAACATGATATAAAGGTATCAAAAAACAGCATATTAAATTTCATAGTAACTGTCACATGTGCACACACATACAGTATGAATTCTAAGAAGTTCAATGCACTGTGTCAGCATACAGGGTTACCACTGCTCCCAGCTAAAATCATCTCCTCTTCCAAACACAAGGAAAAAGCCTTGGATCGTAAGGAAGATGACTGCGTTGCCCGCCAGCACAAGGCCACAAGCTCCCCATTTGATCTGAAACACAAGAAAAGAAGGGTGAACTCTTTAGTCTCTTCTTATTGTGCTATGTGCAAGTCTCTGTTATTTTCAGCTTTAGAAACAGCACATGAAATATCACATAGAGCTGCTAAAAGGCCAAATAATGCACTATGTGGAAGACACAGAACTACTCAGCAACTTGTCTAGTTACTTCCACGACGGTTATTAATTTAGCCTTAGCATGCTCTTCGTTAGACGTATTTCAGTTCCTGTTTTCAGCAGATAATGACTCTGTCTTAATAAGTAAAACACTTGTAGCAGGATTATGAATGGTCCAATTACAATACTATGTACTGAAAGTTCTGCACGAATTGCCTCCTTTTGTGCCAAACAGGAATTGAAGAGTTATGGTTCCTTTGTTTCTTTTCCAGGCGACAAGACTAGATAAATTAGCTGCTAGCAAACAAAAGCAGCTTTCAAGCATGGCAGATGGATTTTACAGAGGAATAGATGGAGGTGAGAGCAGCCTCTAGTGGGCATTTTTTGGTTTTAATTTAACCAATAGAAACACCCACCTAAGTCTCTTCACAAAACATCATACAGTATTCAAAGACAAGAATGGAGTAGTTACAACAACATTCAACAAGTGTAGGTCTAAGACACAGGAAGAATAAGGTCACAACAGTTCCAATTAAGAACATTTAAAGCTTCTTCATTATCTAGATCAAGTTCAAACTGACATGATGTTCAAAACTGTTCCCCATCAAGCTTTACCAACCTCTCTAATCTCAACCTTAAGTACTCCCTTTTGGATTATCATACTAGACCACTCCTCTTATTTTCAATTGTGGTGAAAAAATATAAACAAAACACACACCTATTCAACAACTGCTACATGCATAATTTAGCAACGTTGTACAACCATTGTTGCTATCTTTTCCCAAATTATTCTATCACTATTAGCATAATGTACTAGATTATTCTTTATCTTACAGATTGCATTTTCACACTTGACCGTCACTGCTTATAATATAGCCTTTCCTACATCAAAATCCTATTTATGCTTAGAGGTTCATATCGAATGCCGGCTGGAATTTCTCTCCTCTTGGGGCTCCTATGGCATTCAGATCCTATTTCAATGATCATTTGCTAGTGCACTACCAGCACATCCTGCTAGTTCCAGTGAGCTTCTTCAGGGGGGTGCACAAATAGTATATGTTCCAAAGAGATTTACTGAATAACACACAAGACTAGTGCATATCTGATACTCAACACCTCAAAATAACAGTTTCTCAAAATTAAAACTGAACGTAGTCCAGAGAGGGGGAAACAAAAGCAACTAGGAGGAGAGACAGTAAGCATCATAGAACTGAATAAATTATACTCACAATATGCTTTTTGAAGATAAAAAGAAAATTTTCACATTGGACCAAAACGGATAATCATATTGTTCAATAAACAAAACTTATCTGCAGAGTTGTCCTCAACACCAAAAAACCAAACCCCACTTGTGGGTCAATGCCAACTCATTTGTTGGTAAGTGCCGTTGAGTTGGTTCTGACTCACAGCCACCCTGTAGAGGGTTTCTGAGGAGTGGCTGGTGAGCTTGAATGCTGACCTTGTGGTTCAAACTGACTGCAATCCAGTGCAATAGCCCGCAGTGCCACACCATTTAGGGCTTCTAAGTCTGCAAATCTTAGAGGAGCAGTCATCTCATCTTTTTTCCTGCAGAGTGGCTGAGGGGTTTGAACCGACAACCTTGCAGTTACCAGTCCAATGTTTACCCACAGTGCCACCAGGGCTCACTTGTTGCTCAACATATGCCCATTATTGAATTGAGATTTGAGTACATGATCCTGTTAGCTGGAGAACAGTTTGATATGATCTTTACATTGCAACGAGAAATGCTTTACTGTTGACATCTTTATGGTTACCCCAAGACTTAAAAAGACTAGAAAGACATCTAGTTTTGAGAGTAAGTATTTGTTGTTGTCAAATGCCATAAGCAATGGAAATGCAAACTGAGGTCTTTGTCTCAAAATCAGGGGCAATCTGGTCAAAGAATAGAAAACAAAACTTACCACAGCCACTCGAGCAAGAATAACAGGAAATCCAAAGGCAGAGACAACAATTCCAGTAGTGAAGAAATATGCTAGTTCCCGACAAGCACTACTTGTGGCATCAGAGTCATATGCTGATCTTTTGGCAATAAAGTGGGGGATGGGGGAAATGGCGTGAAATATCAGGACGAACAATGGCCAGTACACGCTGTCAGGTGGACCCAGAAGAAACCCCAAAAAGAAAAGTTAGTTACATTTTAAATGAATGATATACTGTTACTTTAAAAAGTATTAATCAACATATTTGTCAAAACCTTACTTATTCAATTTTCCTGTTAGTATATAAGATGATGTTTACCATGATCAGACAAGTACTGATCATTTCAAAATTGTTAAAGGTCCATTAACATGCTGGTAGTTTATATTGTATAAGGAAACAATAAAACAATGTATATCAAGACTGGACGCTTTCTTGTTCTCTGTATTGCTATTGAGTGTTCTATCAAGCAGGTTTGCAATCAGAGCGACACCATCTCACTTACCTGACAGTAGAACTTAACACAGGGGTTTCTAGGTGTTAATCATTACAGAAGCAGATCGCCAGGTCTTTCTCCTTCAAAGCTGCTGGTTGGGTTCAACCTTTCATCTAACAGCAAACACTTAATCACAGAGCCACCAGTTTTTCTGTATGTTAAACTGTGAATGCTCCAAGGGCAGGATCTTACCTCAGTTGTGTTTGCTTTTGCACTTGCTAATAGAGATCTTTTCAGTAAGCACTCACTTATGTAATCTTTATTAGGTGTTAGAATAAAACCTAAATTCCCTGCCCTGGCCTTATATGAACTGTTTATTACTCCCATTCATCTGGTGTCATCATCCCATCTTCCTTTTCACCATATTCTTGTTAAAACAGAGCAAATGAGTGGGTCTGAACTGCCAACCTTGTGGTTAGTAGTCCAGTGCTTATCCTACAGCACCACAAGTGCTACCTGTGGGCATACTAGCCTTCTTTTTGTTCCTCAAACACCATAAGCTCCTTCCTGCCGTGAGGCTTTTGCTGAGCTGTGCTGTCTGCAGAGCTCTTTCCCCAGATGCTCCACAGGCTGGCTCCTTCTTATCACACAAATCTAAACTATGATGCCCCTTCCTAAAAGTGGCTTTCCTTGACTTGACTATCCAATCTAAAAAGCATCCTCTAGGCATCTTGCACATTACCCTCTTTTAACTTTCTGCACAACACTTATTCCTACTATCTGTGATTTTGTTATTTATGAGGACAAGGATTTTAAAAAAACAAAACTTTTAAATTGTGATTTGGGCAAAAGTTTATGGAACAAATTGGTTTTTCATTCAACAATTCACACACATTTTGCTTTCTGACATTGACTGTAATCCCCACAATGTAACAGCGCTCTTCCCACTTCCTTCCTGCCCTTCCTGCTTCTGAGCTTTATTTCTGGACAAATGCTGTCCTTTGATGTCTTATGACTGGTTTTCTTATAAAATGTTTACCTTCCTGATGTTTTGTTCCCCCCTGGGTTAATGTGGACTGCAAAGTTGGTTTGAACCCATGATTCGCAATTCAAACTCAACAGCTGCTCCTCAGAAATCCTACACAGGGCCGCTATGGGTAGAACTGACTCAATGGCACTTAACAACAACAAACAGGCCCGTCTATTGTTTGGCTGAAAGTTAAGCCACATGGGTAAATTAAAGGGTTAATGGGTACTAAGGAGAAACGTAGAATTGGTGTATTTGAGTTATGGTGTTGGAGAAGAATAGTAAAAGGTACCAAGGACTGCCAGAAGAAGAAACCAATCTGTGTTGGGAGAAATATAGCCAGAACTCTCCCTAGAAGCCAGGATGGTAAGACTTAGTCACTCACACCTTGGACATGTTATCAGGAGGGAGCAGTCCCTGGAGAGGAAGGACATCATGCTTGGTAAAGTGGAGGATCAGTGAAAAAGAGGAAAACCTCCAATGAAATGGACTGACACAGTGGCAGCAGCAATGGGCTCATGAGTATGGCATAGGGCAGGGCAGTGTTTCATTCTGTTGTGCAGTGTCGCTATGAGTTGCAACCAACTCAACAGCACCTAAGAAGGGTCATGGTCTTGAAGGTTTCACCAGTGTCCATCAGACCAGTAAGTCTAATCTTTAATAATTTGAGTTTAGTGCCATGTTTTCCTCCCACTCTGTACAGGCCCTTCTATGGTGGTATCTTATCAAGAAGTCAGCAATGGTAGCAAAGCACCATCTAGTTCTTCCAGTAATAAGGATCTGCTTGTCTTGGTGAATCAATGCATATCTCTAGTGACTACAATCAAAGGTGCCATTAATAACTGTTGAATTAACAACGTAAGAAATGAAATTTAACTATGTTATTAGGTGCCACTGAGTCTTTGTTCAACACACAGAGATCCCATGTAACCGACCAGAACTGCCCCATGGGATTTTCTAGGCTGAGTCCTGGTGTGGTGCTAGGATAAGCACTGAACTGCTAACCACGAGGTTGGCGGTTCAAATCCACCAGACTGCTCCTTGGAAACACTACACAGGGTCACTATGAGTCGGAACCAACTCATAGGCACTTAACAACAACAAATCTTTATAGGAGCAATCACCGAGTCTTCCTCCTGTGGATCTGTTGGGTGGGTTTGAACAACCAACCTTCCAGTTAGCAGCCGAGAACTTAACATGTTGCAGACCATGTAGGCCTGGTCAGAGGTTCGAGGCCCTGTAGCCCCAAGTGTAACAGATCTAGCCACTTGGCAGTCAATGGCAAATTGTTTTTAATCTTAATATCCAGTTATGTTTTATTAAATGCAGACATGAGCCCTTATTATCCACAGAGAAATATTAGAACCCCCTAAAGCCGAGACTGTGAAGGTTGCAAGGTCAAGCCTTCCTCCAAAGGATTAGCTAAAAATATCTTAGCTACTTCTCGGTTCTTTGTTCTATAGACAAAGAACCCATCCTCCCTAATCCCTTTTCCAGGTGCAGCCCATTCACCTGGGCTTCTCGCATCCTCCTGAAAACCTGGCTCAGGAAGCCGAAAAGCAGGACTCCGCCCAAGCTTTTGTCCTTACCTCTCACCTTCCCCCAACTGAGCTCAGGGGCTATAGATATGTTAATTGAGCCTGAGAAACCAAGTTGCAGGCCTGGGATTCGAACCAGCGAAGTACAATGTAAAGTTACCTGAATGTCTGGAAAATTACTGATGCTAGCTGTATCCTCTTTTAGTCCCTCCCAGCTTGGTGTGAAGCTCCTCCCCTAAATAAAACAGAGGCCCATGCCCGCCCAGGTGTGCATTACAGGTTGGACGGCATGCAGTAAAGATTGCAGTGCATTACAAGTTGGAGGGCATGCAGTAAAGATTGCAGGGCGGTGAGTTGCTGCCTGCAGAGGCCATGATGCCTGTAGTCCCAAGTCTGCCCACCAGTGATGCATCCACCCTGGTTTCTGGGTGCCTCCTTGTCTCCCTCCTTCTGTCTGTGTATTCTTTCGCTATCTCTATCGCCGCTGGATCTCCCCTCCTCGTGAACCAAACACTCGTGAATAACACAAATATGTCGAGGTCAGTCCCCCACACTTAACCATTAAGCTTTAAGTATGTCGTTGTTGCTAAGTCCCAGTCAAGTCGGTTCCAACTCATAGCAACCCTATAGAGGGTTTCCACTGATCCTGTGCTTCACACTCACCTTGTAGTCCAGTGCTTTATCCTAAAGCACCACACCAGGACTCCTAAAGTTTAAGTATGGAAGGCATGAATATAAGACACGCTCAGTAATAAAAAGTTTAGAAATACTCTAATCTTTATTATGGACCTAGCATCGTGCTGTAGGATAAGCACTGGACTGCTAGCTGAAAGGTTGGTTCAAGCCACTCCCTAGAAACCCTAGAGGGAGGGTTGCTATTAGTTGGAACCTACTAGAAGGCAATTAGCAAAACAAAAAATGTTTTCTTTCCCCAAATTCAATGTTTTGTATTTCCTAAAAATTGTCATCTGCTTCCTAACAATCTTTGCTCTATAAATACTTCAAAAACAATCTATCATCTTTTTCTCTATCAACTAGAACTTATATTATGCTTTATTTTTTGAGCAGAAAAAAGAAAAGCTTACTGGTTACCCATTTTCATCTATACCACACAAGAATATATATCACCACAATACCGAGTGGGAGTGGGGGAAATGTTAGGACAGTTGTCCATTTCAGCCACATATTCAGGGGGACAGGACAGCCGCCAAAGAACAAGAGGGAAAGTATCCTTCATCAAGGGGACTCAGCATGGAAGTAGTTAAGCTTGGAATTGGAATTGTATTCAAACTAGAAGGATTCTAGTTGTGTCTTAGTTTTTACTGCTCCAGTAACAGAAATTCCACAAGTGAGAGGACCTTTAACAAACACACTTGTTTTCTCACAATTTAAGAGTGACAAGTCCAAAATCAGGGCACCCACCGGCTCTAGGGAAGGGTCTCTCGTCTTCTGCTCTAAGGGAAAATCCTTGTTTCAACTTCTGTAGCCTCTTCTTCATTCTTCGGTTCCTTGGAGACCTCCACTCAGCATCTATCTTTCCCTGTCACACTAGCTCGCTTCTGTATCAATGCTGCTCCTTACGACACTCACAAGTGTCTGGGTTAGGGCACACCCTGTCCTGTGATGTCTCCATTAACACAACAGCGAAAACCCCATTTCCAAAGAAGACATGGAGGGAGCTTCAAAACGTTCATGGGAAAATGGAGTTAAAAGATAATGGAATGTTTCCATGAACTTCTTGAAGCCCTCTTGCATCTTGGGGGAGGCACAATTCAATCCATAACAATATGTTACAAGAATTACCAAACATTATTGTTGAGAGGGATTCTGAAAGATTCTCTAGCTCAGAACTCCTAATTTATTAAAGATGACCCTAAAATACATAGAGGAAGACGCCCAGGGGACATCTGTAATGCTCACATCCAAGAGCTCCTAGTTCTTCCTGAAATATAGTGACAGTTTTCTGAAAAACTCTGTTGTCATTGTTAAGTGTCATCAAGTCAGTTCCAACTCTCAGAGAACCTGTATAAGGTTTCTGAGGAGTGGCTGGTGAATTACCGCCAAACTTACGATTCCAACCAACCTTGTGGTCCAGTGTTTACCATACAGCACCACACCAAGCAAGACTCTATGTGCCCATTTATACAGAGCCACCAATATCCAACTTGTTTTTAAGTGCTGTCGAGTCTATTCCGACTCATAGCAATCTTGTTTAGTTTCCGAGGCTGGAAATCTTTGTGGGAGTAGAAAACCTCATCTTTCTCCCAAGATATCCAACTTGGATAATTGTTAATATTCAAGTAACCTTGTTTAGATGCAAGATTAAAATATTAAATATTCAGTAAATATTTAAGTCAAAGGTTGGAAAAAATTTTTGTAAAGAAGCCGACAGTAAACATTTGAGGCTTCGCAAGCTGTACTGCTTCTATCTCAACTATTCAACTCTACCATTGTAACCCCCAGAGATGCCATGTTAGTGTGTGTGCAGCTGAGTCAACTGCAGCTCAGAATGACCTTGGAGGACAGTGTTATTGGGAGGGACTGTGGAATCTGTTCTGAGTCATAACAACAGAACCAAACACCACCTCTCTCCTGGACCATTCTCACAATGGTCACCATGTTTGAGCCCACTGTTACGTCATTGTTGTTATGTCAAACCATGTCATTGAGTCTCTTCCTCTTTTTTGTTAACCTTCTACTTTCCCACACATGAGGTCCTTCTCCAAGGACTGGTCTGTTCTAATTACATGTCCACAATAAGCGAGAGGACCTCTTGCCATCCTCGCTTTTCAGGAGCATTCTGGATGAACTTCTTCCAAAGCAGCACTGGTCAGTCTTCTGGCAGTCCCTGGCTGTTATACATTGAATTGTGACTCTTCAAAATATGTGTCAATTTGGCTGGACCATTTTGGGATCGATGTAGTCTTTGTTGTAATTCCTTATATGATGCTAATGAGGCAAGATGTAATCTGCAGGATTAGGTTGCATTTTGAGTCAATCTCTTTTGAGACTTAAAATGAATTAAACAAGTAAGCAGAGATCAGAGGAACCTACTACCAGCAAGAAAGATAAGCATGTCCTTTGAACCTATGGTCTCTACACTGGGAACCTCCTAGAATCAGGAGACAGAGAGAGAGAAAGGCTTCCCTTAAAACTGGCGCTCTGAATTTGGCCTTTGAGCCTCCTAAACTGTGAGACAATTGACTTTGTTGGTTAAAGGCATCCACTGGGGTATTTCTGTTACAGCAGCACTAGACAACCAAAACAACTGTATAGTCAATATTCTTCACCAACACTATAATGAACAAGTATCCATTCTTCTTGTCTTCTTTACTTCTTGTCTAGCTTTTGCAAGCACATGAGGATGTTGACAATACCACAGCTTGGGTGAGGTGCACCTTCGTTCTCAAAGTGACGTCTCTGCTTTTTAATACTTTAAAGAGGCTTTTTTTTTTTTTTCCAGCAAATTTGCCCAATGCAATACATTATTTTATAATGATGATGACAATATCCACTATCCTCCCTGAATGCAATCTAAGCACTTTCCTATCTAATCTTGGTCAGAATGACCGTCTTAACACAATGTGTGCTTGCCTCTACCCCCCACCCCAATACTTCCTATCAAACCCAATCTCAAGATCCGTTCCCAGATCCTATTGCCTAAAGAGCAAAGTGTAGCCTTTTTTACATGGCATGCTGAGCCCAAAAGGACTGACTCCACAGCCTTGAGACTTGACTAACCCCTTCTCTTGCCAATTCTTCTGCATATGAAACCTTACCAAATGTGGCTTCCTAAAATAAAATGATACTCAGAGAGGAAGTCCAAAGTGCATTGAAAGAAGTGGCAAAGAACAAGGCACCAGGAATTGATGGAATAAAAATTGAAATCTTTCAGGAA